TATGAATTGAAACACTTACTTGATGTTCTGCTGCCCGTGGAAAGTCATAAAGTAGAGAGGCAGCTCTTCGAACTTGTCTGCCCAGAAGTCGTACTGCTCCAGGTTGTCCTCCAGCCTCTGCATGGCAAACTGAGTGAGCATGACCTTGGCCAGACGCACGTTGTTGATCTCAAAGCTGCCCCACAGCGTGTTGACGCCCTGCATGCAGAGGTCCAGAGCAACCTCGCTGATAAAAGTGGTCTTCCCACTGCCAGTGGGACCTGGTTATAAAAACAAACATATATATTAAGACCAATGGATACATTTTAGTTTCATTTTTTCTTGACCACTTGGGAGCGTTCAAACTAGTTGAAGCACAACTATTGTATTTTTGTTAAATGTTTTCACAAACTAGTGGCCACATTTCTATCTCTGACATTCAGAAGGTCGGTTATAGAGAGCCCTTTGCTACCTTTGGAGCTGTTTTGAATGAAAATGTCTAAAAATGCTGTTTTTAAATATACCAAATTTGGAGAACTCCTTTTTTCAGTTTTATATCTTATTTAACTGACTATCTTTGGGTTGTGGACTGACAAAACAAGACATTTTTAACATCAACTTGGCATTTGAGAACCTGGGATATACATTTATTTGCCATTTTCTGAAATTGTTTAAACAACATTAATCAAGAAAATAATCAGGAGATATTCAATAATAACAACTATGGTTTTGTGGGCTAGAAAACCAAAATAATGTGCAGAAAGATGCAAAACTCTTTTGGGCCTAGGGGAACTGTAGAGTTGGTTGATCATTTTGTATTGTATTAGAATTAAAAAAACAACCAAGACTATACTATGAATTGTGATTCAAAACTTGGTCTTTAAGCATCATGGTTCTTCATACCTGTGAAAACAGTCAGCTCCCCCTTGCGGTGTCCCTTCAGGATCCTGTTGAGCTCGGGAAACCTGGCCCACTTCACTCCGGCCACCTGGTCTGTGTTCGACAGCTCCCCGTACACGTCCTCTCTGAGCTGCTTGAAGGACACGATGGACTTATGTGCTGCTGGGATGGAGGATTTGATGATATGTCCCAGGTTCTTCCCCTGAGCCAGCGCCTCGACGGGACAGGGTCTGTACTCCCCGGGCCGCACCAGCGAGCAGCGCCTCAGACCCAGCTTACGAGAGAAGATCTTAGACGCCTCCCAGGAGCGAATGTCGTCTCCCAGCCACAGCGTCACTCTCTTGAACTGTTCCAGGTAAGGCAGCAGGATGGGTGGGAGGCAGCTGACCCCCCGTGGAAGAGCCACACTGGGGAGTCCTGTGGCCTGGCTCACAGCGAGTGTGTCCAGCTCAGAACCGGTGAGCACCACCTCCGCGTCCATACGGCCCACCAGGGGGAGGCCGAACAGGCTGTAGAAAGAATTACACTTTGGGACTGTGGCTTCTTTATAAATGACTTTGTTATTGTCTGTGATTTGGGCGGAGAGGAGCTTCACGCCCTTCAGGGAGGAGTCGGGGCCCCCAAACCAGGGGAAAACCAGACTCTTGGTGGGTTTAAAGAGTCTCACGCCAAACTTCTTGAGTGTTGCATTGGAGACCTTTGAGATCTGAAACAAAACATTAGTAAAGCTTATTATCCTGTGAGGAAAATTACCGACATGTTACAATATTTTCTGTTTTCGGTACTTGTTGGTTTCTTCCACCTTTATCCCCGAAACATATCTATGTACTATAGGCCTATTGTGTAGAATAACGAAACAAATGTCCTGCCTTGCCTTGCATTTCAATGATGGTGATGTAAATGTGATGGTGTCTGGCAAGTGGGTTTTCCCTATTATAATTTGTATAAAAAGAAAATCCTTAATATGTCATGAAAAAAACTCATGAAATGACCCTCAGAAATACCTGGAACATGGTTTTAACCAGCAGAGCCTCTTCCTCAGGGACGTCAATGAGCGGCACAGAGCTGGACCAGATCCTCTGCACCTCCCTCAGCTCGCTCTCCCTCTCCTCCTGCTCCTCCATACTCTCTGGGTATCCCAGCAGCACATGAGGGCTGAGGAAGTCCTGCTCCTGCTTCTGCATCACCTCCAGACAGTCCTGGATATCCTCCCAGCTCCCTTCCACCAGCGTGTCTTTACACACAAACTGCCCGGTGGTTTTGTCGATGAACAAGGAGTAGCTGTCTTTCCTGTCGGACGGATTGATAAACATGCTCTGAATGTGGAGGCAGCTGTAACCATCGTGGAAGGGAATTTCTTTAGAGCGCAGGTACTGTTTTATGTCTGTGATAGTGACAGGACTTGTAGGAATCTCTAAAGTAGACTTGGCATCCTTTTTATAAGCCCTGGTTCCACTGTGTGCCAGGAAGTAGCCTTTACCAAGAAGCTGTGGAGGCCTATGAAGGAGTCTCTGGGTAAGAAGTCTCACACAGGAAAAGGGTGGGAAGGGTCTTTGGTGCAGAAATCTTGGGGCTGCCACCTGCAAGAGACAGGTGGTGCCCCTCAGCAGCAAGTTCCTCCACATTAGTTATCTGGAAACGACATTAAACCTGCACAAAGAGACAGACAGGTTCATTAACTTACAGCAAAGCTACAACAGAGGTATGTTTGGATGACCTATGCTAGTGTAAGTCACAGAGAGCAAAGACAGCGAGGAAGAAAACCGTTATTTTGTATTAAACAAACACTAGCTATGAAGGGAAATTAGCATGAATGTGCATGAAAGCATCCACTAGAAATACATATCGTTTTAAATAAAAAACAAAGACATAACATTGACTTACTGGCTCTGTCGTCTGCCCTACTTTTTATCCATGCTTCTCCAAACCCCGGGCTTTTCGGTGTGCTTTCAAAACAAGTCCGTGTGAAACATACGCCGAAGTGCACCGAATGCGTGTATATGTTTATGTTAAATGTGAATTCCTATAAAAAATAAATATGGAATTATAAAAAGTGTCTGTTTCATAATTTGAATCCAACATTTTAAATGTCTTTCAAAATAAGTATTATTATTAAGTTCTACCGCGCTCGTGTCATTTAAGTGTTTCACTCCGGTACATATCATCGACGGACCGGAATACATGCATGCCCGTCAAGTCGTCCTCTGTGAATGTTGTTTCTAGCTAGCATATATTTGTCTCTAGCGGTTTTTTAAAAAACAAATGTTTAATTGAAATATATGCGCTAATTGTGTGTTAAACGATGACATCCAGAGGCACACCGAGTCGCTTCCTGCAGAGTGTTCTTCAGAACGGAGTGGGTCGCTATGTCTGCCAGCTCAAACGACTCTCCATCATCTTCTCCAAAAATGCACAGAGCTCGCTGGGAATCAGGTAAAATATATGTTACATACATTACTTTAATATAACCTCTTTCTCAAAGTTACAAATGTTAGTAGTTTTTTGTAAATAAATCAGATATTCTTAGGTTAACTTCGCACGAGTAATTAAACACCGGAAATTGACTGTATGTTTACAACCAATAGGCATACAAAGCACTATCAGTAGGATAAGCACAGCATTTAAAAACGTTTTCCCTTCTTTTTCAGGGGGTTCATTGAAGAGGGAGTGGTGGATTATGCCAAATACAACCCTTCAACTGTCGTGTATGTGTCTCCTCAGCCCTGCAGGATACCCAAAATAGTTGCAGAATACCGTAAGTGCTCAGGACTGTGTTTTGATGTGACATCTGACTAATCCTGAATTTCTTTCCTCACTTTAGCACATGTTTTTAATAAATAGATCAAATAATAATAATAATAATGCTTTATTGTAGTGATTTCCAGGGAAATATATTTTAAAGAATTGCATATATCTTGGTAATATGGACAAATATACTTGTACACTCTCCCCGATGTTAAAAAAGTTAGGAAAAAGAGAGGAAATACATCCGCATGTGTCCTGTGTTGTCTTCTGTAAATCCAACTGCTGTCCCTAAAGAAACTACCTAATACTACGTTGGTGATGCTAAACTACTATAATGCTACTTTAAATCAAAAGCATGAAAACAGGCTCCGGGTTTAACAGGTTAACAGTTACAAGTGAACAACAGTTAATAATGTGTGTTACTACTCTTAGATACTGTAGGGGGCAGTATAACACTGTTTTTTCTGAGACCTCTATTTAGCTAGAAGTAAAAATCCACTGGGAGTTTCACCCAGATGTATTGGTTCTTTGTGACACTGTTAAGTTTTGCAATAAGAAAAGTATGTACTATTAAAAGTAACTTGTACTTCATTCTTTTCCCTCCTGCAGTAAACGGCAACGTGAGGGAAGAAATTGTCACAGGCAAAACGTCGATACAGATTTCTGAGGTTTTGACCAAGCTGACCAATCAGTCCGGCCTGGACATCATCCGCCTCCGAAAGCCCTTCCACACAGACAACCCCAGCATTCAGGGCCAGTGGCACCCCTTCACTAACCGGCCCCCGTGCATCGGCCCCATCAGACCTCAGAAACAAGATGCTGAACAAGGACTATCCAATATTTAAAGTCAAAATGAATGCAAAATTCTAGTTTACTGTAGAAAGATACATCATTTTTTGAAGCTGTTCAAGTGATCAATATGTTGATATGTTGGATATTTCTGCAGAAGACCTCGCTCTGGACTGGGTATTTTTCACCATGCCCTTTTGTCTGTTGGTGGCAGCAATTCTGTGCAGAGCTGTGCCATTATTACCAGCTCTAAATGCCACATTTAAATAGACGTTACATGAATCCTCCAGAGGCTTGTCAGCAGGCATATTAAAAAAGCAGATAACTGATTTTTTAAACCCAAGGTTATTTGAAGATTCATTGTAGTAAAGTGCAGCGCTTGAGAGCAGATGAAACTTTGTATGAAATAAATCTTTAAAAAAAATTGTTCAGTTGCTGGGCATTGGTGTTTAAATTTAGATTATCTTCTGAGTTATATTTTCACAGCTTGTCAGAAAATCAGCAGAGCAACACTGATGTGCTGTCTGCTTCATTAGCTTTGACTGATTTAACTGCACTGATAATACTTCACAGACAAGACACATGGCAGAGGAACACCTTTCTTTATTTCCATGACACCAGGGAATGTACATGTTTTTACAGTTTTAGATACTGATAAGGTTTGATGGTTTCCTTAATGCACAACAAATCCCTAAATTAAGATGACAGAAAGCTGTGTGATAGCTTGAGGGAAATGTTTTAAAGGGGCCCTTGTATACTAGTTTTCAGGTTTCATAATTGTATTTTATGCCTCTACTGTCTGTGACATAGCTTTAATATTCAGAAAGGACTTTATTTTTCTCATACTGCCTGTGCTGCAGCACCTCTTTTCACCCTCTGTCTAAAACAAGAGCCCAGTCTGCTCTGATTGGTTAGCTGGCTGTCTCTGTTGCGATTGGTCTACTGCTTAGAGATGTCCCGCCCCTTGGCCTATCATGTACAGTGTGTACTATGTTGCGGAAGTAAATGAAGGACTATATGGAGGCGTTTCAGGCAGAGGAGGCGTGTGGGAGAGAAACTTAGCAGAACATTAATTATGCACAAAAACTTATATAACACAATACAGGAAAGGGAAAACCAAAAAAGTAAAATAGGGCTACCATCTTGGACTGTGAAACATGCCGGCTTTCCCTTTTATTCCCTAACAAATAACCTCAATGTAGTTCTCAACAAAAAGACGCCCATACAAACAGTCCTTCCATGAATACAAATAGGCATGAAAGGTGCCTGCAGGACAGATTGCTCGTCGCTGTTGATTGATGGATACTATTCTGCTGGCATACATAGTTCTGGCCACTAGGAAATGGTTTGGGTATATCTGAGAGAATGCATGTAGAATAGGAGCGTGAGATGACTGCAGAGGATGGTGATCAGTGAGAGACGGTGGAGCAGAGCTCTGCAGTGGCATACTTCTGCTGATTTCACTAATTTTCTTCCAAATATCTACTTGAGGATCATTTTTTCAAGAATGTGGATGCCATGTCCAACTGAATTACCCTCAGCCATAAAGACTGCAGTTCCTGATGTGATAGATGTACTGCAAATAAAGGTGGTGACATTTTAATGATCTGTGCACTTATATCACCACATCTATGTCAAGTTAAAATGTCTTAGCCGTAAAAGGAATTAAAGCATGATTGTGTGAAAATGCTAATTTCCTGCATTTTAATTTAAATATGCCACCAATTACAGATATCAGGGCCAGTACACTCCCATCACACCCGCGCTACCCAATGAAAACTGGCAAAGCTATAGCCACGCTAGGACATTTAAGACTCTAAATAAAGATTCTGTTGCTAAGTTACTGCCTTGCTCTGAAATATGGTCATTTTATCCCCCCTCTGAGCTTATGTTATACCTCTGCTCTGTCAGAGTCATATATGTAAATTACTGTGGGATCCATTCCCAGTGGAGTTCCCAGTGGCCTTGTCGCTTGCCACAAGCTAAAAACAACCAAGTGTTGTGGCGTCTGGAGAGTTGGACTCAGTTTGAGCATGTTTTGCAAGTCATTTCCTGTCTTCCCCTCAAGGCTCTTGACGCTGACGTTTTTGTTTCCCCCCCCAAGATGAGCATTTAAGTGTTATTTAATCTGCAGAGGCAAGTTGAAATTTAATGAACTTCAATAAATTAGACATGAGACACAACATAAAAGGTCTGCAACAACGTAGGTGGTTAAATCTTACAGGAAGCCAGTTATATTCTGAGAAAAGCACATAGATAAGGTCATTATCAACAAAAGGAATCATACAGAAAAAACTTGATGGAAAGTGTATGGGAGAGGATTAGGGCCACTTTCTTTCAAGATCCGACCAAAACTTTCTTTTCATTTTGTTGTGAGATTAAAGTCACAATTCTGAGAAAAATACAGAAATCTGACTTTAATCTCAAAAAAAGTGTTTCACATGTGGCGCTCATCCTCTTCCGTCAAAGTGTCACAGTTTACAAGAGTATATTATATGACGTTTAAAAAAGTACTAACAGTGCAAAAGGAACTCTAACTACTGTCTTTGGCCGACACCTAAAAAATAATCTACATAAAATATAGTGTATCTTGCATATTGACGCAGCGGGATGTATTTGCTTCAATCTGGATTTGTGTACATAGACAAGGTGAATGTGATGCAATATGGTTTTAAAGTCCATATAAGAAAACAGGGCAGAGACAGTGTCTTTTGTAAACAGATTGTCCTTAAATGAGAATGAAGCAGCAGCAAAGGTCGCAGATTCAGACAAAGCTTTCAACATGTGAAGGATTGTCAAAATCTATCATAAGGGACCTTGATAATGGAAGCCTTTATATAATACATGTGTAGGTACCGTATAGTAACATGTTGAACTCAGGAGAAACTGCAATCATTTTTACATATCTTGAATTTGCAATTAAATGTAACCCAACAAAAACATTTATTCACATCTTTGATTTAAATAAAATAAATAAAATTAGCATGGATCAGAAAATATGCACAATCCTAGTCAACCTCTCTGAAAAAATGGAGAGTAGCATGTTCAGAAAACCAACTTGTTTCACAAACACAAACTCTAGGGCTATTTAAAAACTAGTTCTAATGGATTGGGGGCCACAATGGCATTTGTAAATTCAGCAGGGGTCCTTGAGAGAGTGTGTGAATGTGAGCAGAGAGAGTAATAGATGATACTGTCATGAGAACTGATGAGACGGGAAGGAACAACAGAGAGGGAGAGAGGGGAGGAATGAGGATGAAAATCAAGTGAAATGGCTAAAAAGGCTGATAAAAAACATGCAAAGTGCGAATGAGTATGGTCATCTATTTTCTGCATGGCTGATTAGGACACACAGGTGAGGTTGTATCATACGGAGAAACACATCTAAGGAGAGCTTCATGGCTGAGGTCTGAGAACGTTTGGATTTATAGTTAACCGACAATAGTTCACTCTTTCTTAAGTTGTATTTATAGCCACATATATGATAAGTAGTCCAATATATATGCTATTTGTTTAGTGTGATCTGAAATGTGTAACAGTAGATCATGGTTTTGTCTTCGCACATAGGCATATGGTGAGGAGTATAGCAATTTTAGCCAACTTCACCCAATCTGAAGTTTTTGTTGGCATCCAATGAAATGATTTGATCTGGCAGTCTAGTGGTGCTGCGTATGGTACAAAGGTTTACTATCTGTCTATTTTTCTGGATTCTATATGTCTTGTATGGAAAAAGCTAAACGCTAACATTTTATATAGTTGTCATTTCCTAAAGAGACAAGCCTATACACAGTATATAACTACTGAGACAGAGACTTCGCATAAGGTCACAGAGATAGCCAGATACAAAATAATTAGGAAACCTAATCAGTAGAAGCAGTTTAAAGGTTGAATTTGCTACCAACGAACAAGAATATGTGTCATCCATGTTCAAAGGTGAATGACCAGAAATCCTGCTTTCATACAGTGGACCAGGCCATGAATAATACACCTTTGGCCAATCTATCCCCAACAACATTCATGTCTCAAACAAAACAAAGCAAGCACTTTGTTTAATGATATCAAACAGATTTCCTTCAATCCGGGCGAGGACATTTATCAGTCTGCATATAGTGCACTCCCTGAACCATATTCCCAAAATAAAGTGGCTTACAAGGCAGACAAGAGGACAACTACTGTAAAAACCTGCGAGTGCAAAATAGCTGCTGCCTCCTTGTATCATCGTCTGTTTCCTGCATGGCTAACCAGGACACTCAGGTCAAATGTTTCCTGTCTGCTTCTGACTTGTGAGAGGACAGCACTCTATGCAAACAGACAAAAAGCCTGTGTCCTCTCCTGGTGGAGGGGAGCCAAGCCTCGCTGTTCCTGTCAGCCCGCTCTGACAGACGCTCGCTGAGAGTCCCCTTCGAGGGCTGCTGCTGAGCCACCGCTACGAGAGCTGATTCAACACTTTGCTGGGTAAGACAGATCTGTATTTACCCCTCACCGTGACACGTTTACAAACTACTTAGAGATTCATTTCAGTCTGTCTAAGTTATACCTACTATTTAATCATAGTTCACCTTGCCAAGAAAATACTGTACGGTCTGCGGTTCTTGCTGTTTTGGCCTTGCTCTGATGTCAGGTAAACACAGAGGATGCCTTTGTGTGAAGGTCTTCTCTGGATTGACAAATGGCCCCTTGCAGGCAGATAGGGGACCATTTAAGAAGTCGATGGAAACCAATTTGACTTTTTGTAACATCACTAAGAGTTTGTGTCTGTGTCTGAAAAGAATGGCATGACGTCTCAAGAGAAAGCCACATCTTCGAGGTGTAATGAATGATCATCCAAAAACAAGGCAACAGTCTGACCATGACAAAGAGATAATGTTGGAGCTGTATAAATAGAAAGCTGCATATTTCCTTTACAGCCATTTGTTTTCAGTGTGGTTTCCCCAATGGGCCCCGGAGCCAGTCTGTGGTCTTACGTGAATTCAATCAATCTGACCACAAACAGACTTCTCCTTTAATAGACCACTTAAGCTGTGTCTCTTGTTCTAACATTGATGCTAACAGAAGCTTTGCTACAGGTTTTCCTATTAACACACAAAAGAGCTACTAACTGCTGCCGCAATCTACTTGAGAGCAGAAGAAAATGAACAAAGAATAGTTTTAAATAACTTAAAATGTAAGATTTGTCTCACCACCTGAGCCCTTGTGAACTGTAACAGCTTCTTAAAGTGATACTCCACACACAATCTATATTTTGAGTATCAAACAGGCTTCCCCTGTGGGCTTGAAGGGTGACTGTAATATGTAGTATGCAAAGAATGAGCTTCTTATTTGCTAATTTTCTCTGTTTAACATCTTCATATAAGATATTTTGGGGTTAACAAATGTTTGCCAACAATTCCAAGAAGGCACACTTGACTCTGGTAAGATGTGACGAGCATTTGAAACTCTTTTATGACGTTTTTTGGGGGAAAAGAATCAGCAGATGTTTCGATAATTGCTTAAAATGGATTCCTATTTGGAAATGTTTTCCCTTTCAAAAATCATGCAACTTCTTAAATCATTCTGGTACCAACTTTATACTTGTTGGATGATTTAGCTTGTTTGAAAACATGTAATGGTCCTTCAATTTAGTATATTAGTTCACTTGCTCAAACATCACACACAGGGGTTTGGGGGTGATGTGTCCTTATTATCCACTGCTGAGACACACCTGGAGGTGGCCAATGGCAGCTAATGAATCCCAATAGGATGCACTCTTTGCTCATTAAAGCACTGTGACCTTCTAACAACTGTCCATAACTCACGAAAGGCTCTGAGGTGGAAAGCACATCGGGTGAAAGGTAGAATGATTTAACAATGCACAAAAGGTAGATTTTTGGTGGAGTATCACTTTAAGTTCCATAGAAGGCTTACATTACATGGCACTAAAAACCCTGAACACTTCCACAGTCTCATATATCTGCGGTCCCCTCTTGGCCTGACTTATTTTCGTGTCCTAGTTTGCGTCTTCTACATCACACATGTATGACCCCGATCTTTCACAAGCCTCCAGAAAGTCTCAGCAGAGGAAGCATTAAGCTCCCTTCTTCCTAGTACTTCTGTAACAGCGCAGTCTTTGACCAAAATCTTCACAGCTCCACTTTTTGAATATTAACGTCTGGTTAGTGTAGTCCGTTGTTGAAGTGAAATCCTGGGTCATTTGTCATGGGAGACAAGGGGAGCCTGCGCATTTCAGATCAGGCGAGGTACTCTGACACTGGGTAAATAACAGCAGCGTTTGATACGACAGTCAGTTCTCCCCACCACTACGGGTCACCGTTGGGGTATAAAATAAATAACTTTGGGACTGAGCCTGAGAGGGGGCGTCCTAGATGGAGCTCTCGTCCGGCTGCAGGTCCAGCTGCGTGTGTTTCCTCTGCTCCAGGATCTTGTTGAGCTCCTCTGTGAAGGAGTGGTAGAGCGGCGACATGCCCTCGGTGTCGGCCTGCCTCAGAAGAACGTAGCTGTTCCCGTTCATCTTCCGCAGCACGCTGGGCAGAGTGGCCGACATCCCGTTGGCGTAATCAATGTTGGGTAATGGAGGTGGCATGGGCAGAGGAGGGGCAGGGGGAGGCGTTTTGCAGGGGGAGAACTGGCCCTCCCCTGGAACAATCTGCAGGAATCCATCACCAATGTCCCCAAATGTTGTCATCGAGATGGAGCGACGACCCTGGCGGCCGTTACAGTGGCCCGTGATGGTTTTAAGCTCCAGATGCGAGCTCCTCTTCCTCTCAGAGGCCCCCAGGACGTGCAGCTCCTGCTGGGAGAACTTTCGGTCCCGCCGGGCCCTTCTGGTGCAGAAGCTCACATAAAGAAGCACCACAGTCAACACCAAGCAGAGCCCCCCGAGGACCGCCACCAGGGAGATGTACACGGCCTCCATGTGTCTGTAGGTCTGGAACTCGGCCCCCGGAGGCAGCGGGGCGGGGGGGGAGGGCAGGGGCTGCTCCGTGGGGCTGCTGGTGGAGAAAACAGTCGGGCTGGAAACTGTGGTGGGGGAAGTCGTGGATTCAGGCTCCACGGGGAAGTAGGAGTCCGTGTGTACCCTGACTGTATAGAGATACACCAGGACTGAGACGGAGTTCTCCACAGCAAAGCAGCGATAAGACCCACTCTGCTGGGAACGAGCTCCGATTATGAGGAGGCCATCTGTGCCGATGCGGTAGCCCGAATTCAGGCCGTATCCCTGGAGCTCTTTGCCGTTCAGCGTCCAGCGTGGAGTTGCCAGGTTGGAGCGCAATTCACACTGGAGGAGCACGTCGTCACCAGACATCACAGAACGCCTCCGATGGACCACTGAGGGACAGAAGGAGAAGAAAACACACTTTAAGTTGGAGCTAAAAAGTAAAGGGATAAGTAGGAGAATGCTAGATAAAGGGAGGAGGATTCGAAACAGCATGCCAGAAGTGCAGCAGGACAGAGAGATGAATATAGAAGAAGATGTCAGGTCACAAAGGTGAGCAGCCACCGCGGCTCAACCTCTCAACATCACTATCTGTCACTTTTCATAAGCCGCTTTGAATGTAGCGAGCCCTGCAATGCAGCCAGCAAGACCGCCTGACCTCCAGCAAGAGAGGAACTGATTAAAATGTGTACCTGGGGGGGATGAGTAGGGAGGGGACACCTAATGAAATCCCTTAATAGCAGCTACAGTCTTAAGTTCCAGGCAGGGAAAAGAAGAGTTTCACCTCATAATCCCTCTGTGACAGTCGAGCACACTAATCAAGACAAATGGATGTGGAGGTCATATAAAACGTTCTCAAAATGTAAAAGTTGCTTAATGGTGTGTGTGCGTGTGTGTGTGTTGTTACCATTTCCTGAATTCTCCTTGCAACCCCTGATCCCCTTTGAAATATCCTGGGTTAGGTTCGACCTGAAATAAAGTCATTTCAAATTCAGTTAAAACATTTGAATGTAATCTTTCTTTAACAAGGAAACACTCAGAAATTATTATTTCAGATGAACAATAATCTGATAATTATCAGAAAAACAACATGATATGCAGAAATCACTTAGCAATATAAGAGAGAAATAACACAAAATGCTCTAATGATATGTTATAAGACACTTCATCCTTGAAACCATCTAGTAGCTTTCTAAAACCATTATAAAAAACCAGGATGCATCCACACAACAACTTAATGAGGCTAACACGACAATCACGATTTGAAGAAATACCCCAAATCACCTGCAGCCAAAACAGAGAGCACCTTGTTTCTGCAGCCATTGACATCCTATTTTAGATCTGACTGCAGAAGGTTTAAGGCAGAGAGAGCCGCATGCACATATATCAGTTTCTTTACAGAGTAGCAGGAGTAAACATCTCCCTCTGTCTACATCAGTGTATTCCAACAACCCCCATGAATAACAACTGTGGACATGGTGCAGTATTAACCAGGTAAGTGTAAGGTCTCTCCCATTTCCGTTCCATTCTTATTGCAGATTTCTCGTGATGTGATGGCCCCCCCCCCCCCCCCCCCTCCCAGAGAAATGCACAGGAGAGGCTGATGTGTCTGCTGCAGTAATGAAGATAAAGATGTCTGCTACTCACTCATGCAGCGTGAATGAAGAGAGCAAGAAAACTCCCAAGCGTGAGAGTGAGCCAAAGTCATGTTTATGTATTTGTGTGTGTGGGTTTGTGTGGAGTGGCTTTATTATAATATGCACTAGTTCTCCTATGTATCTCCAGCTGAATCACCCCACAACTAAACAACATTTCTATCTAAAGTGTTGGATGTTTTATGTTGGCAATATGTACACGTAAACTAGTACATTTACTCGATAAAGTACACTTAAGTATACATTTAAAGGGGCCCTATTATGCTCATTTTCAGGTTCATAATTGTATTTTCTGCCTCTACTGTGACATGGTTAATTGCTTTAATGTTCAAAAAGCTCTTTATTTTTCTCATACTGCCTGTGCTGCAGCACCTCTTTTCACCCTCTGTCTGAAACCAGAGCCCAGTCTGCTCTGATTGGTTAGCTGGCCAGCTCTGTTGTGATTGGTCAACGGCTTAGAGATGTGTCTTTTATGTTGCACTAGAAATGGATATTTGACATATAAAGCGTGATAAACAAGTGAAATATGATGCATTGTTATAGATAAAACGACCTAAAATAGTTAAGTAAATAATACATTTCTTAAAAAAAGCTACATTTAAAGTTATTGTCTATTCATTTATAATTTAATGGGAATTGTAATCTTTCAAATATGGGTGTACTGTTTCTAAATAGTCAATAGCAATTCAAGTATTCTCAAAATGACTTGTTAAAAATGTTTAAAAAATGAGATAAAGCTAAACTCAAGTTAAATGATATTTCAAAGTGTGAGCGAAGTTCATTTTCAGATCCAAATGTTTTTAAGGGGCTAATTAACCCAAACTGCAGAAGAAGCTCCCGCTGAGCTGAACCGAGCTAATGAGAGAAATCAAGGTCGACCTCATTGTCTTAGACCTGTTTTCATAGAAATTCTGTTTGAAGGAAAATAAGCCGTATACATAATTTACAAGACTCCAGTATTGCTGTCGGGCCCAGAAGAAAGAAAGAAAGGTCATGTAATGCAAACATGTAAACAGAGTCCAAATGTTATCTCTGTTTGCAGGTCTATTACTCATTCCATTTACACCAATGATGTATGTAATCATCATTGAACAGCTCACTATTGTAGGTCCTTGTTATATTATTCATGTGGAGGTGTTGATACTTATATACACTTTATTAAAAAAATCCCTTTTATTTTTACCTGAAGAATACAGAATACCTTTACTCAAATGTAAAAAGCTTATATGGCTGTCATCCAAGTGCAAGCATATAGTGGAGAAAATTCATTTAAAACAGGTGGACCTTCAGAGGAGTTTTAGGAAGATATATGACTCAGGAGAAATGGGGAAGCAATGCAGACACTCTGTAACTGCTGTCTTTATACTTCCTATAAAACATCGAGTTATCGTATATACCTGAACAATGTGCATTAGTATTCTTCTCCTGGGAGTTATGTAATACTAGGAAAAAGCATTTTATAAAGGGTAAAAACGTAAACTTGAAAGTACCAGGCTTAGTGTGGTTTGCAGAGGTATTGAATGAGATTGATAACACTATAAACACATCATGATCGGTCTTTAAAAGGAGCTTAAAGCAGCAGTTGTGAATCAAATATGTCAAAGCTTGATTACACTAAATGGCTGGGGACTTATAATGCATTTAAATTGTATCAATATTATACCTTTACCTTATGTCTGTGCTTATCATATCTTACTTATTTCAAACCAATGTCTTGATGATGAAATGAATGTGATGGCACCATTTTGTAGTTAGAATTAGATCAGTTTAGTTTTAATGTACTTGTTTGGTGTTTTTTAGCTTGTAAATGTTGATACATGAACTTTCAGCCATTTTAGATATGTACAATATATTTTAAATAGGGTCTCTTTACGTTTGTGAATAAATGAATTGAATAGACTGTTTTGGCTCTGTTTGTCTTACTGTGTCCTCTTTGATCCAGAGAAGCAACACATTTAAAAAGAAAAGAGGAAATGTGCAGTGGTTAGTGTTCAGCTGTGTGTTCCCTCACCTCTGTGCATGTGAGGATATTTCCACACACACCTTCCCGTCCCAGCCACAGAAAGGATCTCTGGCGAACACACAGTCGTAACAGGAAGTGTATCTCTCACAGGCGGACATTGGTACCTGCACCACTCCGGAGTACGAGCCAACGTAAATACTCCTCTGCAAAACACAAGATGGAGAGATTTTATATTTATGACTTCTAAAGCCTGAAACTAGACAAATCACAAGGATTGTAATGCACTGTTATTAAAAAACCTGATTAATAATCAATCACTGAGGAGAATTGCCTTGTGGCTGTAGATAAGCTGCACACCCAAAACTTAACTTATATGTGTCGCTTGTATACATGTATTAAAATATTCTTTAAAGTGCTCTAATGACCCAATCCAATTAATAAATAATTGTCAAGGCATCTTTACATTCCAATTATACGTCGTTAATTAATAAGTCAGACCATGATCTATCAAAGGTTTTAATTTGCATGACTTTAGCATAAATAGGCGGTTAATTAGGAACTCTACAAGCATGCATACATACCAGAGCAGAGGATATGACCATGCTCTCTATGGGCTGCGCTTTATCAAACAGCTGAAGCTCCTCTATGATGTGCATCTCTCCACCAATGTCTACAGCTCTGTGCAGCCAGCCGTCATCTGTAAGAGAAGATACAACCTTTTTCTTTCATTGATGCTTTAAATCTATTTATTTCTCAAAGGAAACACATTGTTTTACTCCAGAATCTATGAATTGGAGATATTCTACAAGATGACTGCTACTAAAAAAACGCTAAACACGTCTCATCTGTACTGGAAGAACACCAGTTGATTTTATATTGTCCACTGATAAGACATTTGTGGATCAATATCCAAAATTGGCTACATTTATTTTAAATGTACTCCTTTAAACATTAGGTTTATATAGTACAGATTGATCCCAGATAATTATATTATTTATATATAAATATAATTCATGGGTCAAATATTTATACTAAAAGCTCAACCAGGAAGTAATCTGGATCAAATTACTTATATATTGCAAAATACAATGAAAAGACCATTTTTTGTCAACGAAAATAGGATTACATTATATTTTGAAGAGTTGGATAAAAACAAATATTTAACAGCCATGTGTATGGTTCAGTTTTTAGATGTTTCAGTGCATTAACTTTCTTTTGTCTGTTATCTTATTCTGTTTTTGCCCCAAAAAAACAAATGTTAGCCCTCCCATTTCTTGTTGCTTTTGTTCTTTGTATTGTATTTGTTGACTCTCAGTAGTACAACTCACCGGTTCCCAAAAACAGAACGGTATAAATGTTCCCATCCAGCGCTGGCTCCTTGTGCACGACTATCTTGACATAGTTGACACTCCTCTTGAACATGAGTGGGCGAACCCCTATTGGGTGCACCTGGCTGGCCATGAGTGGGTGCCTTCTGGCGAAAGTGAGGACATTATCTGGCAGGTCCCGAGACGAGTTAATGCCCTGCGACCTGTGAGCGTCTGTTATACACTGTGGAGGGATCAAAGACAGGGGAGTGATCAGAGAAAGAGCTGGACGTTAAATACTTTGATAATAGTAAGAGTTTTTACAGATGAAACTCACAGATCCAGGTCTTGGCTCTGGAACTTTCCCCGTGAACTCCCTCCACTTTGAGTCCTGCACCTCCATGTACGGCCCATCGAAAGCCTTCTGCACATCTGAGAAGGCGTACTGGCAGATAGCAGAGGCTTTGATATTCTTCCTGAGGACATATTCAGAGGACACAGTCAGGATTAATGACTCAATGTGGGACACACACCGAGGGGTTATTATCAGGGGAGAAACTGCCACACAGATCGAATTTCAAACGCATGATGGATCGTAAGGCGGAAATGGGCTGCTCATCTCTGTTTTATGAAAACTGGGGGTGTTGACGTGCTAAAGTTTCACCCTCACATTTTCCACTTGGATTTTATCAATTTGTCTTGAATGGACATGTGGGGGTTCTGTCACTGACAGGTGTGTGATTTTGCTCTTTATCCTCTGTAGCTCATGCCATCAGCCACTCCAGAAGGACATGTTTGTTTTGCAGAGATTTCAGCACCGAAATACCCACTCCCTGTGAGTCATGAATAAAGAGCTCCATTTGTGGCTTTGGTGAAAGAAAAGACTTTTAGAACAACATAACAACAGCATGAGTCGTGGAACCAGGTGACCCTTAATCTTAAACCCTACAGGTGAGATTAGTAATGGGGGGGAAATGTATGCGTCACATTCTTAAGTCCATTGTGTGTGCCCACCTCAGTCTTCAAAAGCAAAGTGAGGAAGAAGAGATTGAAGTGAAACCTGAATCTGTCTTTAAAACTGGTGAGCAGTTATAGCTCAGGGGCTTACTCACTGTTTCCCGCCTGAGTCTAACGCATAGTGACTAATACTACTCGCAGGTGTGTGGGCCTTTTTTCCCCACAACACAGAGTATGGAGACGGACAAGAAAGAGACAGAGAAAAAAGTGACGGAAAATACTGTTTTCATGCCTCTCAAATGTTCTTTTTTTGGACTGACAAAATAAGACATTGGACATCTGGGATGGATATGTTTGACTAATTCCTGAGATTTTTAAAGACCAAAACAATGAATCAATGACTCTAGAAACTGAAGAACAGATTTGATAATACAAATAAGTGCTCCATCACTGAATGAGGAAATAGACTGGTAGAGGTTGAGCTTGAATATCCACGAAAGGAAGTGTAGTGGTGAAAAAAACAAAAATATAGGAAAAATCAACAGGGAAGTAGATCGTGTTACTGTCCTGTTGCAATGCTATCCTTTGCATCTGAATCTCAACACCCTGGGGACAGTTTTATGCAGCATGACTCTGCATAAACACACACTCACTCCGCTGCCAGATATTCCAAAGGCAGCCGTCACGTCAGCTCTGACTGCAGCCTGCCGCTTTTGTTTTGACAGCTCAGGGTTGGAATAAATGATGGTTATCGTTATCTGGTAATATGGGGATTATTTTACGAGTAATTGTTCAATCGGTAGGATGTCAGAAAATAAAGAAAAATATCCAGCGCAGGTTTGTGGAGCCCAAGACACATATGGAAATGACAGGTTTTGTGACATGTTTCCATGCTTTAATGTTCAAAAAGCTCTCTGTCTGAAAAAAGCTCTCTGTCTGAAACCAGAGCCCAGTCTGCTCTGATTGGTTAGCTGGACGGCTCCGTTGTGATTGATCAACTGCTAAGAAATGTCCCGCCACCTCAGTTACAATGTGTTGGTGTGCTAGCCAATAGAAGCGCAAGTGTTACGTAGTGATGTCACTATGTTACTGAAGTAAACAAAGGAGTCTAATGGAGGCGTTTCAGGGAGGGGGGAGTGAGAAACTCCCTCTGGAGGGAACTTTTGCAGACGTTTTTTGTCCTAAAATACTTAATTTTACATTCATTCTCACTTGTGATGTCGTCATACTGTTTACTGCACAACATTTGAAATTCTTGTCTAGATTCCAAAGCTTCAAAATATACCAAATTGGCAGGGCTTAATTTTGGGGACATGTACTGTATATGTTCCCTGGAATGTCCCATTTCCAGAGATGGGAAGTTTTTCTTCAGACGGCGGTGTGTTCATTAGTTTTAAGACGTAATGTGGAAACTACATGGAGAATCTGTTTGTTTTTTTTGATTGCTCAGATCATTTAAAATAAATGTTGATATCTATTTTGATGTTGGGTTGATGTTCTGACTTGTGAGGGCGTTCGTGTGGTTTTCCGCAGTCATATGGATAATTTATCCGCTTATTCCAACACCAAATGCAGCACAGATGCTCTATCTCTCAGTGTTAATGAAAATAAAAACTGAATGTGTGTATCCAGCCCTTGATTCCTCCCAAAATGTTATGTTCTTCCTTGGCCCAGAATACACCCCTGAAGGCGTTTTTCATGGAAATCAGGCCCATAGGTTTCTCTGTAATCCTATTGACAGACAAACAAACCGAGCCGAAACCTCCTTGGCAGAGGTAAAGCCAGGCCAGTTAGTGTAGAATACGATTATTCATCCAACCTAAAAGAAAGATAATATTCAAAGCAGAATCCATGTTGTCTCTTACCATTCCAGGCCGAAGACACCATAGAAAATGCTGCTTTGAGCGTCCCGACCCTGCAGGACAAACACACTGCGCAGGATGTTGAGGTGCAGCTCATATTCTGGGACTGAACACACCATTCTGGCCTTAAGGAAAGAGGTCCACTTCCTCTGCAGGGTCCTCTGGCCTCCCCAGTCATTCTGCACACAGAGGAGACAACGTATATGGATGAATGGAAGTCAATGGAGCTAATATATCTTAGATTACAAACTCTCATACTCATAAACGCATCAGCAAGCACAAACTTGTGATTGAAAAAACTGTTAAACAATGATATAATTATCTCCCTTAAAGATGGAATCAAATCATAATGTCCACATAACTATAGAAAGGAAGTGAGTCTTACGAAACAGGAGCTCACAGTTAGTGCTTACTTTAGCACATTTCCTCTAATTGCATTTCGGTGGCATGGGGAGACAAAGCAGCAAGAAATCTCTCCCTACAAGAGTAATTTACCACACCTCATTAAGAAGAGAAAATAAAAGATAGAAAGTCGATTTTTCTCTTTGTTTGTTCAATTTATAGCGCCTCATCTTTCTTAGTTCATGTCTTTCGCAGACGTCTGTCATCCATCAAATCTCTCTGCCCGCCTCGGCCTCCCACACAAAAATAGGTTTAATCGATGTACCTTATAGGTATGCAAAACAAAAGATGCCACGTTAAGAAATTCTATCCCTAACAACAAAGTTAATGGAAAGAGAGGAAAGGGCTGAAGAAAAGAAGAAAAGGCAGGGTAGAGATAGATACCACTGAGAACATAACATAAGCGTTCCTTATAGAGATGTATGCAAGAGCTAAAAGGATGCACTTGTAAATCACAATCAACGTCAATCAAAGCATGGTCAGGGTCATCGGGCTGTGATGACGTAAATCCAAGAAAATACGACTCATGAATCCAAGCGTAGCACTGCAAAATACGCCTGTGGGGAAATTAAGCCGAGGCGACATAATGAAAACAGTTTGAGCCTGACATAAAGTCGCTTTCTGAAGATATCAGCCTTTCTCTCTGAGCAGAAGATATAGTAGTAAATAATGGCCAAGTGGCATTGATTTCTGCTTTTTTGTTCCTGAAAAGACCTTCTCTGTGAAAATAGGTCATGATTGCAGAAGGAGTAGATGCAGTCTGGATGGAAAGTGACAAACAGAAGAGGACAACTAGTTATGCAGCTCAAAAATGGCAAGTGTTCAGAGTTTTCAGGCCAGAGGCTACTACCAGGGACCTTCACTATCTGCGGATCTGCATCAAATCAGTGAGTCTGTCTGCCACGGGGCTGATCTGGGACCAGCTCGACAGCTGCATGTACCGCTGTGGCCTAGTTCAGACTGAGAGATTACACTCTCCACCGCTCTGATGAAGAGGAGGCGAGGACTCCAGACCTTATTTCTAGAAATGACTTGTTTTGGATGCAGAGAGGATCGTGAGCTGTTTGTGGAAACAGAATTTAGGAAGCAAGCAGGAAGTTCAGAAATTATTTCACTGCAAATGTGCAATCATTAAAAGGAAAGACTTCCCAGGAATTCAAGTGTATGAATGTGGAAAAAAGAATTAAACTTGTAAAATAATCTCCAAATAATAGCTCCACATATCACACTGACAATGGTCATTAATTAAAGGAATAACCCACGTATATCAATGACTCATGGTGGGTTACTTTGAATTCTCGAAAACAACTTTGTTTTTCTCGCAAACCTCCATGGGGATCCAAGGATTCAAAAATGGTGAAAAACCTTGATGAATTGAGGTAAATCGAGGCCATTTTTAACAACAGCAACAAATTCAATACAGCCATTTACAAACACATGCATAACACTCAAAACGTTACCTAGAGTAGTTTCATGTTTTTAAATGGCATGATTTAATTGACATTTTATGTGTTTGTGAATTAGTGGATTTAGTTTTTTTATTTATTTTTGCTAGTGTTATGGGCATCCTCAATTTACTTAAATTCATCAAAATGTCCTCGGTTTTTCTACTCTTTTTTTCACCCTGGAGGTATTAGAAAAAGTGTCTTCTGAAACACTGGATGAGTAATTGATATACAGTTATTTTGTGGGTGAACTATTCACATAGTTTCTTCCTTAATATTAATTTCAAGTGCTTACGCAATGTTCAGCTTTCACATTCATTCTTCTTTCCTCCCATGCATCCGAGCAAATCCTTTTCACATTCTCACAAAAGGGGATATACTGTAGGGATTTCAACGTATTCATAACATCATCTCAACCGCTCAGAATCTTTTAAGACACTTTTTGATGAACCCTTAGAGAAACTGCAACAGTGAATTCAGCACAGCAGCATACTGTGATGGTAATGACAGCACCATGCATGGCCAAAAGAAACGACAGGGAGAAGAAAAAAAAAGGGGGGAGGAGAAAAGGAGTTGCTGGGCATGTCGTTTCAAATGGAGATGCTGATCGCAAGTGAAATGAGGTGAGAGGGGGGGGGGGGGAAAGGGAGGAGGAGGAGGAGTGGAAGAGGAAGAGATGGCATAAAAATAGAGGGAGAGGGTTTGCCATTGGAGGTGGAGGTTGGAGACTTGTAGTTTGCCTGGCAACAGTGGCACAGAAAGAACCACCAACCAAGATAAGAGATACCAAACTGCTGCTTCGTTCAGCACTAAAATGACAGTGGGAGAAGAAGGGCAACTGCGAGAGAAGAATCTCAAACAGAAAGTCTTCTTAAATTAATTTTACTTCACTTTAATCAGTGACATAAAGCAATAAATAATCCCACCATTTTCAAATACTGGCAACTTTTTCTCCACCCCCATCGTAACCCTTTTATTCCCTGACATTGCAGTCACTATAAATCTGTTATGTTAATTTGTGTCTTTTCTTTAATTCACTTTCCAAACCATTAATATGATTATGGTTACTAGTATGTGGGTTAGTTGCTCTCGCTGACCTTGCAGACTCGGGCGACCCTGGACACCTTGGTCTGGCTCGGGTAGGCAATCTGCTCCTGGCTTCTCTCCGTGAAGAAGAAGTAAATCTTGTCGTCGTCACCGATAGAGCTGTTAATGCTCTCCTTCAGCAGCACAGATCCCACAAAATCTGCCTCTGTACACACACAAACAAGACACACACACACACACACACACAATGAGATCCACATGTCCAAACACAGACCTATTAGCAACTGAGGAAGTGTCTCCTTGGAAACCAAAGATGGAGCTTTTAAGTATGATTGAATAGCCACATCTAAGCCAGTTAGAGCTGCAGTGCAGTGCAATTTGTGTGATGTGATTTTCAATCTCCAAGTCCATCAGTTTCTGTATTAACATCAACACATCCACTTAGGTACTTTACTGTAAGTGGAATTATATAAACCACCAGAGAATGAAATGTTTTTGCACACACTTAATCATTACTTGATGTTTTCTCAAGGCTTTTCTCCCTTCTATGGCTTTTGTTGTCATATAATGTAATTACCCAGAAGCCATCGAGTTGGGGCCTCCTCAGTCCTGAGCGTAGGGAAGGGGAAGTTTCTGCGCACATCTGGAGAGCTTCGAAACTCATACTGAGAGGCTGTGAACATCTCACCGTCTGAAGAAGGATGAAAAACAGAAGAAAATTGCCATGAAATTTGGTTCAGAATGGGATGTTCCCCGGCAAAATGAACTGTAAAACTGTGTTGATCCTCTGACTTTTGACCTAGCGCCGTCATCAGCTCAAAACTTTAGTTTGCCTAACACTTATAAATCACTTTTTCATACTTACTTCATGAACAAACACATGCAAAAATATGTTCAGCCTCAGTTGTGCTTTAGTGCTAATTAGCACATTTTAGCATGCTTACGTGCTAAATTAAAGCTATATCTACTAAACATCTCCATGTTAAAATTGTCATTGTAAGCATGTTAGCGTCTAAAGCTAGTCCTGCCCTTGACTTAGCCCTCTGGATATACCATGACCTCGATGACGAAGACTCTTGACAGACTCATAGCGGGATGACGTTAGCATTTCGTATAGCCTCGCAGAGTAGCTAGCAAATCTGCAGGCTATTGTTTTAGCTGGAATCAAGCATGGTGCCCTGTTTTTGCCAGCAAATGTTCCCCTTAGCTGCATGCTTCTATGACTACACCAATATGCTGTGTGAAACAAATTCAATTTGGAATGGCGGCTCATTTATTGGTACAAGAAGAATATCTATTCAAGATATATAATAGCACCCAGGAAGAAAGCTCTAGCATACACTGACTGTATCAGGTATTGTGACTAATGTTTAACATATGGAGAAAAATACTAAGTTGATCAATTATTGCAATAGTGGGAAAGATGTATTGTGTTTGACTTCATTAAATGATAACTGATTTGTTACTGTATACTGTCAGATTTTCCATCAATATTGCATTTGTATTTTGTATGAATGTATAGTGTAAACAGTTTTACTATGTTTTTGTGTATTTCTACTGTATTCTTCTGTTTCTTTTATAAAATCATGAAAAAAAAAAGGGCACATTTGGAATACACACCTACAATAAGGCCGGTGTACCCCTTTGCTGGGTCATATGGACACCTTTCTCTGCCCTCCTCAAAGCCAGAGGTGAAGTTGAACCGCTCTGCATCCTTACAGAGAGAAAAAAGACAATGAATCATTTCAATTTAAGTGTAGTCGTAAGGGAACTATTATGAAACAACACAAGCTCTTACCATGTAAGCGCAAAGAGGTCTGAAGGCGTTTGTTCCACAGACATACAGGTGAGTCTCATTGAATCTCTGCAGGAAGCGGATGTGATTGTAGCACTCTGTCTGCAGAGAACAGAGGAAAATAGGTTATTTCTGTCTCAACAATTGGCGAGAGCAACAGAAAGCATAGGCCAGTCAATCCACTTCATGTACAGGGGCTATTTTATGCACAAATTCAATGAACGACTGGGATTTTGTATTCTCAGGAGAAATGTAATAAGAAGCAATTGAAAGGATTATCAACTTGTCTGCCTTAAGAAGCAATCTACACATTAAAAAGCAGAACTGTTCTACAATGATAACCCAGTAAATAAAGAGTTTTCTTAAAATTAAGAGGGACTGAATAATAATACAATACACTTGATATGAAGCTACCTGATTGTCTCTGCCTTTGTTTAGACACTGTTTCTTCTGTTCAGGGGAAGCATTCCAATCAATCTGCAAACAACAGGGAGGGGGCATAATAAGAATGACTCAGATCAATAAATAGAGATGGAAACATACATAGATAAATAGAAAGATCTATAGACAGAACAGTGGGGAGATGAAGCAGAACAAATGTGTATGTGTGACAAACAGGAAGAGAGGAAAAAGACAGCTCACTTTATTTTCTGGCTTCATGTTCAGTAACCCTTGAATAAACGCCTGGTGCATTTAATGCCATATCCATAAAATTGGACGTACACAATGGGATTTGCTCAATCTGCTTAAGGCTATTATTAGTTTGTCCTCTTTTAGCACTCAAGAAATGAAAATAAATGTGTGAAACCGGGTGTTTGCTGTTTCTTTGTGGTAATTAACATGCTGATCTGTGGCACTCACCGTGAGGTTTGAAGGGGTGGAGATGTTGGAGGTGTTGAGCGCGTGCAGAGCTCCTCTGCCTCCCACGTACAGCAGGCCGGTCTCTTCCTCCAGCAGGAGCGTGCTGTAGTTCTGGGAAGAGCCGTTGAATCTAGCACTGCCTAACAGACCTGCAAGTATACGACACACAGTTGTTGGCCTATAGAAAGTCTGAAAACCGTCAACAATGTCAAACAGTGATGTTTCCCAAAGCCTGATGCCCTCAAATGCTCTTCTTTCCACAACTAGCAAAGAAACCAGTAAACATTTACAACAGATGTATTCACATATAAGAGTTTTTGCTTGTTTTACTTAGCAAATAACATAACCCAATTAATGCATTAATGTTTACAGGTCTAAAAATCACAATAACTTTATGGAAGGGCAATGCTAATTTGTGGGTTATTCAATTAGGATATACTTTAGCTTATTCTATGCTACTTATTGAGGTAAGATTCTAGTAAATCTTGTATTTTCAAACCTTAATCATTGATACATTTGAGAATGTAGCTTCATCTCATAATATTCCTTAAGATAACAAAGAGTACACTTTTGGCATAATTTATCCTCCAGAATCAAACATTTCCAAACGACCTCCAGTCGAGGGTCACGTATTAACAGTCTTGACACAATGTGAGCATGCTTAGCGTGACTGCCAAAGGGTGAGGTTTGACAGTGTGTCTTGAAGATGGGGGGTCACTGGATACTCGCTAAGAGGACTGTGGAGAGTGTGGGGATGGGGGCGCAGGGGAGGCCACAGTTTAGGGCATTCAGAAGGAATTGTGCCCCAGTAATGCCAAACAGCATCAGTCATTCTGCCATCATCAGCTGTGTGTGTGTGTGTGTGTGTGTGTGTGTGTGTGTGTGTGTGTGTGTGTGTGTGTGTGTGTGTGTGTGTGTGTGTGTGTGTGTGTGTGTGTGTGTGTGTGTGTGTGTGTGTGTGTGTGTGTGTGTGTGTGTGTGTGTGAATGAGGGTAACAGAGGAAGGGGCAGACAAACAGATTATTAATATAATTAATATATTTGGACCTGGTGCACTAAACTAAATATTTGAACACACTTTGGTGTTGCACTTCCGAAATTGGGGCAGGTCGCTCTGCTGCTGTGACACAATAAAAAAGGAGGGCATTGTTTTTTCTTCCTCTGTGTAGAAGTAGGCTAACAGAGCTTTGATATGGAAAAGAAAACCACACAGAAAGAACAACAGTATAATGAAGGTTTGGACAGTGTTACACTGAGGAATATGAGTCAGCAGCGAGCAGATGGGCATATTAATCGCCTCTCTTCCTCCCTCTCCTCCTTTCCCTTCCGTTGTGAGCCGATGGCAGCATGTCTCGGCTCACAGTAATAAGACAACCTATATCTGTCCCCCAGCAATCGATGTACTGTAGTGTGAGGTACTGCACGCCTGTCGCAGTCAATCTGTCCTCCTGTTCATTGTAATGGAGCGAGAAGGGTGGAGTGCAGCTGGGCCTGGGGATCACAGCGCAACGGCTGCAAGTGAACAGATGATGAGCCAGCAATGCAAGCTGACATATTGTGTTATTTTATATTGCATGGTTCATTCAGTTCACTTAGACTTATTGAATTTGATCAGGGTCAGTTTAGAGCCAACTGTAAAGGAGTAAAGGGATGCACCTGTCGATTATTTTCTACATTAGTCATTTGGTCTATAAAATGTCAAAGAGTATTCCAAAGTTGTGTTTTTAAATGTCCTGTTTTCTAACTTAAGATCAATGATATTCACTTTAATTATATAAAACAAAGAATAGCATAAAATCCCCCTGTTTGAGAGTCTGAAAGGAGCTTTTTTTGCCCTGTTTGCATGACAAAATACTGTATCGTTTATTCACTTGATGTAATAGTTGGGATTACTTTTCTGTCAATCTTGTAATTAATTAGCCAACTTTGTCTTTGTAATGTTTTTAATTTACTTCACACTATCTTTGTTTGTTGTGTGAATTGTATTTTTGTAAAGCGACTTTAAAGGTGGGGTAGGTAATTTTGGAGAAACCAGCTCGAGTGCGCTAGAATTTGAAAATACACAGCCGGAAAAAATCTGCCACTTCCTTACAGAGCCCCTCCTCCAACACACACGAACGCGCACATGACCAATGAGGGCACGAGATAAGTTTGTGCACAGATGGAAGGCTGACAGGCAGGTAGGCCATCCAGTTATTTTAGCCGGGCCGGCTAAAATGATTGGTCGTGCTTTTTACAGTACTACGGCTTCCACAGATGACATTTTTTTATGGATTTTTTGTCAAAGCACTTCAGATATTCATTGCTATCGGGATGTTAAGAGCATTCCATGCAATATAACAAAAAGTGTATCTCGAGCCGGTTTCTCAAACTTACCTACCCCACCTTTATGTGAAAAGCGCTATATAAATTAAAAGTATTATTATTAGTAGTAGTATTAGAAGTTGTAGAAAGGAAAGTGAAAACACCAAAACAATCATACAAATGTTTTAAATGATGGGACTCATTTGCCCAAAAGTAAAAAAACAAAAACTCTACAATGCAGCACAACTCAACAGCAGCTCCAAATACATCATAAGATTGTTTTGAATGACAAGCAAACTGTTCCTCTTTAAATGAGGAACTAACGAAAAAGTGCTGAGATGGAATATCACGTTTTACCCATGCACAGACATATTGCAAGGATTGCAAGATCTGTCTGGAGGACAACATTAAACTTGAGCCTCTGTTTCCGCCAAAGAAGGATTCAGACATACTTAAAGACTCATATTTCTTATCTCCACTTTAGTATTACATACTTTTAATGCTATAATATAATAGCCAGGATGCTAATGGGGATGACAGGAAGTGTTGCGGTGTGTTTGATCGTGCTTAATTCAATGTAATAAGTGATTACCCGTCATCACATGGGAGGTGGTTATCTCCCCACATGACCAGTAAACTGTCACATGGACACGCTGGGTGATGACTGTGAGCGTCCATCCCCTGAAGAAGACCCGGCACACTGAGTCAGATTGAAAGCTCTCGAACTGCCCACTTTCCTTCCTGCCAACTTTTTTTTTAACTGGTACTTCTATCTCTGACAAACAGACAACCACATGGAGCCAATAATGAGGTTATTATCAAACCGTCAGACAGAGGGACGAATGACACTGTGCATATTGCTGCTGGGAGAGAAAACCCTTCACCAAAGTGACACCAACAGTGACTTTTAAGAAAGGAAAACATTTATTTTGAGTCATTTGTTAAGATACTGCATGCTTCTGCACCTCACTCTGTGAAGAGAAATGGTTTTATCCGGCAGTATTTGTGAAGCCTAAGGGATTTCTGACATGTTTGTCCTCTTTAGTCAAATAATTGACAAACTAATGAAGAGCAACTTTAGGGTTTTATAGTTAGTCTTACTTTTGATTACACTAACAAAGTGAATCAAAAACAATCTTCTGGCGACAAGCATGCTAAGGAGAATTGTGAAAATAAAGTGTTGATAGAGTTTTAATGGTCCTACGGGTGTGATCTTTTGAATTAAAGCTCCACTGTGTAGAGTTGTGTGTGATTACAGCATTTATTTGAAGGATCATTTCAGTCTATTACAACTTGGTGATCAGACGAGGTGTAAAATAGCAGACAATTTGTGTAAATTGCTTAATTCACTCTATTTGAGGATAAACCACCAGCTGGCTTTACTACACCAGCGTCTAGAAACCTGTATTACCGATAGCTCCATATGAGGAGGCCTAAATGTTATTAAGTAGTTCAATTCCTTTACATATTTGTAATATATTCATCCATATATTTAACATACCATCAAATGTTATGTTTTATGTGAAACACATTTTGTAAGAAAGTAAAGCTTACAAACTAACTACAGCTGTCGTATTGGGGTAAAAGTAAAAACTTCTCTCTGAGATACAAATACTTAAACGATGTACTTAGTAGAGTACTTGAATAAAGGTACTTAGTTACATTGCAGCTCTGCCAAAACTATCCTTTCATTTGTATTATCCATGTGCAAGAGAGAAAAGGCAATTGAAAAGGACTGTTTGTGTTGCTGTCAACCCATTTATTATTGTGTCAAATCTCAATTCAGCTGAACTAAACTTTTCCAAGGATGGCCGCTGCTGCCTTCCCGCTTCGGCAACAACAGCAAGAACTTATGTAACTCTCAATTAAATCTACAAACAAGACTGTGTGACTGCCCCCCGTTATTTATCATAGCCAGTCAGATGTGAGTAAGCAATGAACAGCTCCTCCAACAGACAAAGGTCAGGACACGTGGGGGGGGGGGGTTTCTGGCAGAGGGGAGTCACACAGCAAAGTGCACTCTCCATCAGGCAGGTGCATAAAAGGCATGAATACACAGAAACACAGACTGAATCTATATGTATTGATAAGCAACAAAGAGAGGGTGACACACAGACACACATAAAAAAACAACATTGCATTGCAGATCACGGTAGAAGAGAGTTATGCAAACAAAGCAGCAGCCCAAAGCAAAGTACTTGTGAGTCATCCAACAGTGAGTGAAAAGCCTTGGTTTTCTATCTTATAAAAATAGTGTCTGCAGGATATAACAAGCACAGTGTTGATGAGAAGGACTATGTGACGTACAAAATGTCCCCAGTCCGGAGGAGGCAGAGGCACTGGACCTTGGCCTTAGACCTGCCGGGGGGGGCACTGTGTGTTGTATTAACTCAGGCACTTCTGAACACCTGACGTCACTCACTTTTTGGTGACAACACAACATGTTGAAAGAGAAATCCAATGTTCACTTTAGCCAGAACAACAAAAGACAGACTCAGTGGGCTGCAGAGCTGTGAACGAAACCATTTCCTCAGATATATGGGGAGAAAATAAAGATCAATTTGTATGTGTTGCACCAAAATGCACACACACCACACTATAACACATGACACAGGAGACTTGTTAAGTTCAAATGTAATTTTACAGAATCCTCCAAATTAAAGCTTGTTCAAGTCTGACGCCACTTTTGGAAGAACAATGTTGCTTTTTTGGTTAAAGTTTGAGTTACATTTATCTCCAAAACAACTTCCTCTAGGCTGTTGTCACCTAAAATCATCATATGTTGGGGCATTTTCTGAAACTATGGATTCTATCTTGTTTTACTTGATTGGATTATCTTGATCTT